AAGGTCGAAGAGAGCTGTAGCTGGAAACCATACCTGTTGAAAAGGATGGGAAGCAGAGCAAATGTGGAACAAGGGGCTCCCATTTTCCCTGGCTGGGCCTCTGGATTACACAATGAGGCCTTCATAGGAAAGGGAACCCCTGAAGATTAAATAAGAAAATCAGGCTCAAGGTAGGAGCCAGACATGTGGCACATATGAAACTCCAGAGGCTGAGACAGGAGGAACACAAGTTCAAAGCCAGCCTCAGCAAAACGAGGCATTAAACAACTCAGTGAGACCCTGTCTCTAAATAAAATACAAAAAATAGGGCTGGGGATGTGGCTCAGTGGTCAGGTTTCCTGAGTTCAATCCCTGGTACCAACCCCCTCCCCCCCCCAAAAAAAATGAATAGGTAGGAGACAGATGTATGCAAAAAAGTTTTCAGGAAAGAGGGTCCTTATTAACAATTGCTTGGGAGTAGGAATGTATGTGTTAAAGTTATGTTCCATTTGTCTAAACAGTGCTTCTAGGTGGTTAGAGACCTTCCTCTATGTTCTAAATTCTACATTAATGTGTTAAAACCTACACAGATTAAGTGTCTTCAAACAAAATTGTTAGTTCTTTAGTTGGCTGGGCTCATCTGGAGGCTGTTTACTTGAACTTCTTACTGTGGTTGTTTTTAGATAGTGGTCAGGACTTTAGTCACCTCTGGCTCATGGCCTGGATACCCACAATGGGTTGTAGTTGTTGGCTGCTGGCATGGAGCTCAGCTGAAGCTCTCACCCAGAACATCTGCATGTGGCCTCTCCACTTGGCTTTGGCTTTTTAAAGGAAGACAGAGGAACTTTTGTAGCACAGCCTCAGAAATCCCAGAATTTGGGGTAGGGATATAGCTCAATGGTAGAGCATTTATCTAGCATGTGTGAGGCCCTGGGTTTAATCCCCCAAATCACCCAGAACAACAACAATAAAACTGTAGAGAAATCCCAGCTAGGCCCAGTGGTGTACCCTATAATAAAACTCAGGAGGCTAAGGCAGCCTGAGCAATTTAGCAAGACTATGTCTCAAAACAAAAAGTATATATATATATATAAAAAAAAGGCAGAGGTACGGGGATGTAGCTTATGGGTAGAGCACACCTGGACTCAATCCCCAGTACTGTGGGCAAAAAGGAAAGAAATCTCAGATTGTAAGTAAAACAAAATTCACTGAAGACAGCCCAGACCCAAGGGGAGGAAAATTACACCTCCTTTTGACACAAGGAGCAGTGTGGACATACAGAGAGTATAGAAATCCATGGCTGCCATTTTTGACTACCACTACTTCCTGATTTGTATGTCCTTCATTTCTAACCTCACTGCCCTGAGCAAGAAAGCCTAGCACAGTGCTGTGCCAAGTAGCTGGGAGACAGTATGGTGTGCTGGTTAAGAATATGAAAATTTAGAGGCAGGAAGACCTGACTGAAACCTAAGTTTAATCCTTTATAAAAATTATATATATATATCTTACGCAATATATATAATGCATGGTGGTAAAATTTAAACACTGCCTGGAGAAAAATAAGCACTCAATAATTACTTACCCATAGAAGTAAGGATGGAAAGAGGCTGAACATTGCTTCTCCAGTGGCTTTTGTTTATGCTGAGCCACTGATGAGGAGAGCTTACAAGACAGTTAACATTTGGGTCTACCAAACAAGGAGACCATGGGGTCCAGAAGCTATAGTCAAGAAGGTAAGCCAAGGTTCTCAGTGGTGATTGCCAAGGTGACGTGCGTCTCAGAGGAGGGAGGAATCGGTCCCGGAGAATAAAGACAAAGGAGCAGGATCCTATCCAGGCAGAACATGTTGGTGGAGCGGAAGAACTCTGCTTCTGGATCAAGTCCGTTATCTTTTCTAAACCTTGGTTATCTCACAGCAATAGTTGGGTGTGATTTTTAAGGCGTTCAAGTTCCTTTTTGTCTTGGCCAAGCTGCACCATATTTTCTAAGTCAGTCCTAAGTCAGTCCTCTCTTACCCCACCCATTTGGTTACCACTATGGCTTAGGTTACCATTCATTATGTTCCCTTAGTCACTGTAGATGACTTCACAAATCCTCCTGCTCTTAGTCTTTGCTCATTAGCTCTCTGTGGAGCTGTCAAGTGATCTCTTCTGTAACAGAAATCTGATCATGGTGCTCACCTGCTAAAAGCCTTCTCTACTGCTGCTTCTCCATTTGCCTTTCCAATGCTACTCTCCATCCTTTCTTCCCTGCTTTATTCTTTGGTTGGGGAGACCTTGATGATCTCAATGGATTCCTCTGACTTTCTGGTTTCTGTTTGGGTTTATTCATTGAAAATATCTAGTAGGAAATTAGAGGGCAGAAGTCAAAAGGGTACGGGGTATTGATTCTCACTTGAATCCTGCAAGTTCGGTCATCACCTTGACTTTCCAAGACCACAGCTCCTCCAGGTCCTGCTGTACAACTGCAGATCTCTTTGCCTCCACCCTGCCTCCTTGCTTCTTTAGGCCTAGAAGGATAATGGCTTCTCACTGTTGCTTTGCTTTGGTGACTCAGAGGCAGCCTTCTTTGTTCCTTTAGCTCCTCCCACACCCATGAAAAGCATTCCTTCTTTAGATTATCCAAAACATTTCACTTAAGTCTAGTTCAAGGAAACCAGCCATTTCCCTCCGAGGTATGAACTGCTATTGCTTCAGTGGCTTCCAGGCAGTTTCTGGGTGGAGCCCAAGTTCCTCTTCACATGGCCCCCAAACCCCTGCCGGACCTGGAGGCTGCCCTCCTACCAGCCTCCCCTGTGCTGTCTGTGTCTCTTGTCTCTGCAACACGCACCCTGGCCTTTCCTCCACTCACAGTGTGTGACGCTCACTCCCACCTCCAGGACTTTGTGTGTGTCTTCATGCTTTCCTGGAAATCTCCTCCTCATTCCCCCTTTCCCTTGGGGAATGAGCTTCACTGATCCTTGGTGTCTCACCCCAAATTTTTCTTGGGAAAATCTCCATGAACCATTAGATTGGGCATAATGTTTGTTTATATTCCATACCACAATTATGTAATTGCAGATGCTGCTTGACATGTCTTGGGTTTATGGAGAGGTAAATCATAAGTTGAAAATACTATTGTCGAAAGCTCATTTGAGTAACCTGGATTGCACAAAATCATTGCACAGCCTAATCTATCTTAAACATGCTCAGAACATTTCCATTAGCCTATAGTTGGGCAAACTCACCAAAAAAGCCTATTTTATAATAAAGTGTTGACTAGCTCATGGAATTTATTGAATACCATACTAAAAGTGAAAAACAGAAAGTTGTCACTAATCCAAGAAAAAAAATGAAGTTCAAAATCAAAAGTACAGTTTAACTCAATAGATATCATTTTTATGTCACTATAGAAAAATTATAAGTTGAACCATCGTAAGTTGGGGACCATCATTCTCAATCATTCTGTCTCTGGAGACAGGAGAGCATACCAAGTCAATTCTGTTTCACTTTTTTAACCCCAATATCTAGCTGTTGTCCTAGTACCCTGTAGACCCTCAAAAAAGCATTTTTGAGTAATAATTATAATCCAAAATTCTCAAAACATAGAATCTAAAAACCTTATATTTTCAATAAATGTGTTTTCAACAAATCTATGAAGATGTATACATGCATTTTTAATAAAAATATATGAATATAATTTCAATATATATATATAATTCACAATCCTATATTTTATTGCTGGAGTTAAGGAAATGGAGTGGTGTTTCCAAGGTCATTTTAAAAATACAGAGCCTGTGATGAGGGCTCAAGTCCTCAAATTTCATACAACTCCATTTGCCCCCTGTACTTTCCATTCCTTTTGGATATTTTTAGAAATCCTGTATCCAAACAAAGCTCTGCAAGGAAAATTTATACTCCCACCACCACCACCACCACGTGTGTGGTATGCAGTGGAGCATAAAAACAATCAGAAATGCACTTGTTGAAGGAAAAAAAGAAAAACAGCAAAACTCAAGACCCAGGGAAGAGCATCTTGAAGAAACTAGACCAACAGCTGCTGCATTAAAAATGATCAATTTGTATTTGGGAAATATTCTTAGTAGATAATTCAGCTGAGTGTCTCTGGGCATCAGAAGGCCAGCAGGGAACACTTAGAACTGTCCTTTGGTGATCTGACAAATCCTCATTGACTAGCAGGATGTTATACCACTTCTTGTTATACCACTTACTTTCTCCCACTCAGGGAGACTGCAAGAGAGTAGCCAGACTCTCACGACTAAGACCCCACCAGATACTCAGCTTCCAGCATCCCACTGGCTTCTTAGAAAACAAACCTTCAGCCCTGGTCTGGATCAAGCTGGAGGAAATGAAGCATGACCTTGTAAAATGGCAGTTCCTAGCTTTTTTCTCCCTCCTAATTTTGGGGATGTTATCATGGCAGAAGAAAAATATTATTTTCTGTACTCCATTCTGGAAAATGATACTCATCTGTGGGAATGCTGAGGACGCTCAATTGCTGCGGCCAGGAGTGTTATAAGATTGCAAGACTGGGAGAGGGTTTGGGTTTTAAGAGGTCAGCTAGAAGAACAAAGTGGGTTATGGGGAAATTCATGTTCTCTGTGGAAGAGTCACATGAGAAAGAAGACTCAAATAATCAAAATGGCCAGAGGCCAAGTGGTAAATGGCAAATCAGAGCACAGTGCCCTTTCCTCTGCCCTCTCCCCAGGCCCTGGGCTTTCCTGCTATTCCCTGATGACCACTGCAGCCTGGAACCAAGCCTTACAGTGCCGGTTCCTGTGTTGTACCACTCATCACTCACTGGACCACATGCCCCTCAAAGTCAGGCTCATGTCTCAGACCTATTTGTCTCTCTAGGACCTAATTAGGACAATCTTTTCCTGGATAAAGCTCCTACTTTTAAAATAAAAAGTAGAAGTTCTTTCTATGGAAAGAACACTCTCAAAACCCTTAACACAGAATTATCTACATAATTATTTATTAATTAATACCCTGTGTGGCTACTTCCACCAAGCCTCTCACCTGGGTTAAACTGGCCTGTGGTATTCTGCCATCTCTCTTTCTCCTTCATTTTAAGAACTTAAGATCGAAGCAGGTCCTGGTGGCGCACACCTGTAATCCCACGCTGAGGCAGAAGGATCCAGAGTTCAAGGCCAGCCTCTGCAACTTAGTGAGACCCTGTCTTGAAATAAAAAATAAAAAGGGCTGGATAGGGCTCAGTGGTAAAGCACTCCTAGGTTCAATACCTGGTAACAAAAAATAAAATAAAAACAAACAAAAACAAAGCCCAGGCCCTCAGGGAATTGAAAAGCTGGTGTTATAGCTGCCTCAGAATGTAATCAGTGAGGAAGTTACTTAACCACTCAGGGACTCAGTGTTCTTACAGATAAAACATGAACAGCAACAATACCTACTTCCCACATCTGTAGTGAAGACCAGTGTGATGTTTGTAGTGTGTTACTGGGGTTTGCACAGTGCCCTACACAGAGTTTGGACTCCATCCATGTCAGCTTTTTTCCCTGAGCTCCTTTTCCTTCTCATTATGAGGAATTCTCACTTGGTCCACAAATACAGAGTATTGAAAAAGTAGATGCTTTCTATTAAAAATTTTTTTCCTAAATAAGTCCAACAGAGACAAAGAGTTCTAAGACATAAGCATGACCTTGGCGAGCATATGGTCCAGTGAGTGATCAAGGTGTACAACACAGGAACAAGCACTATAAGTCAATAAGCCCCAGGTCCCCAGCCAAAATAGCACAAAATGCTTTGAGCAGAGAAGGAATGAGTTCCACAAGCTTGAGAAATCTTATCAGAGAAGCAAGGTCTTCTTCAAGGTCTCATACAAATTAAGAGGGGAGGATAAGTATTCCAGATTTGAAAATGGTATTAAGAAAGTTCTTTAGGTATGAAATAGCATAGCAAGTTCAAAGGACAACAAGTAGACCACATGACTGAAGACTCTATGATGGCTAGAAGAGCCCTTGCTCCAGAAACAGAGTTTGTGGCTCTTATCACATACTCACTGAAAACTATTGAAAGTCTCAGGTACATATTATATCTCTTCAACTTACTTGAAAATTAAATTTCAAGAAAATCTTTTTTTCATTATAATAAATCTAGACATAACAAATTCACCTGAAATTTTAAGATAAAGAATGAGAATCAACAAGTATTTTGCATTGTTTTTGATGTTTAGAGCTGTGCCTCCAGGCCTGATGGAAAACCTTCCAATGCAGTACTCACAGACCCAAGTTTGAGGCTGCAAATAAACCAGAGAACTGTTCCTAGTGGTAAAAATTGTGTGGGACCAACAGAGACTAATTTGGGGTTAGAGGATAAGATAATGGTTAAGTATTAGGTGTCAAATCCTTTTCCCTGATTTTGACTATAAAGAGAATGAAGTTGTAAGAGAAAAAGGCCATGGCCTATGGATACAAGTGTCCTTACCTGTGGCTCTCCAGTGCTCTTTAAGTAACAACAGAGAGACAAAGAGATAGCTCATATACTCCATGGCTCTAATAGAGATTATTTCTATGACGTTCCCTCAGAATTTAATCTTACACAGTTGTGGTAGAAATCTAGCATGATGATGTTTTATGGCTGGTAAATTATATAAAATGTGTTTTCTCCAGTGGTCCACATGCCATTTCTAGTACAAGACAAGTTACAGGAAGTCTCTCTGGGCTGCCAGTGAGCTGTGGCTTGTGTTGTGATTTCTTAGGCTTCTAGCAGTTTTACCTTTCAGTCTGATGGCATCAAGTGAAGTGGCTCCAGAAAATCTAGGGGGGCCAGAAAATCTGATGGATCCTGGGAGTCCCAGAGATACAAGTTAATGAAGAACCCAATCCAGCTGTAGGTGCAGGGTCTGCACAGGTCCCAGAAGAACATGGAAATGGCACGAAGACTCATGGCATTCACATCACACTATAATAAAGCAGACAAACAATGAGCAATAAATTATTAGCAAACAGACTTAAAATATTTTTAATATCCTTGGATGTGGTTTAAGAGAAAATCTGGGGAAAATTACTTAAAATATACAGAACTGACTACAGACAACATCCAGAGAGATACTAAGCTTCCTTATAAATCAATAATGGAAAGATCATATCATGACAGGAAAATGGGTAATTTACAGAAGAAACCGGAAAATCCAATGATCATGAAAGGAGCTTAGCCTTAATAATTTTACAACTTAAAATTAAAATAATAATGAAATAATATTTATAACTATCTTAACTATAAAAAAATTGTAAAGTCTAACAAGACCAAGTTTTTGCATGAATATTGAAGAGACAACATCACATTCTCTATCAAAAAAACTTACATCTATAAATTGTTACAACCATTTAGGGCAACAATTTGTCAATACTTAGTAAAAAAAAAATGTCCATATCCTAGGATACAGTAATTGTATAATGAAAAATGTAGCCTAAATATATTTCCACAAATGTGTGCAAAGAGTATAGCAGTATGGGTAATTATGAAAATGGAAACAACTTGAATTTTCCTTAATAGGAAAATGGAAAAAAGTAAAGTTTTTTTTAATAGGGGAATAATATATAGCCATTAAAATGAAAGAGCTGGATTTGTACATATCAGCATATTTAAATCTTGAAACTGTTTACAAAGGAAAACATTATAGAAAATAACCATAACATTTCGCTATTGATATAAATTTTAAGCTACAGATAAATACTTCATTTGATTTTTAAAGATGCATAGGTAAATAGTAAAAGTCTTTTACTTCCCTACAGATATGGGAAGGACGGAGGCCATCTTCATAATCTCAGTTAATTCCAGAAAAGAAAGTTCAGAAACAAGATTGTTAAGAACACAAAAGAGACTTTAATTGAATTCCCTTTGCCTCAGAGAAGTCAGAAATTTTTAATGAGAAATTAAATCTCCAACTCAAGGTTAGGTGAGTATAAGTCTGAACTTATACCACTTACATGGTATAGAGATCTCCAACTGAGAAATTGACATTTAAAAAAGAAAACAGTCCTGGTTGATGAATCCCCCGAAGCACTTGACAGAAACACTTTCACTATTGGGGTACATGTGACTAACTAGCACACTTACACAGTAAATCCCTAGTGATAATCAGCTCACAAACAAAACTTATGGAACACATGAGAAAGTAATCCATCGTGAGTGAGAATCAGAACACACCATTAGTTTTCCAAGAACTTGATACTGTGGAATATCATTAAAAAAAAAACATGTAATTCATTGTAGGGGTCCTCACAACACCTGTCTATTGTTACTTTGGAATTGCTAAGGACCAACGATGGCTGCATGTCTTCCTTTTCCCTTTCCTGAAGGAATGTGTGCATTCATACGATCATGCATATCACTTTGACCACCATGTTGAGAAGAGGGGCAGACATTTGTGTTTGCATGAAGGAGTAGATATATTGTCTTTTTGGTTCATAAGCCTCTAGACAAAGAGGAGCCATGTCTAGATCTGATGGAATTTGAGTTGGACAAAAATGACAGAAGGGGCTTTCAAGTGGCTTTCCTTGAAAGAAGGGGAGGCTTGAATGTGGTCTACAACTTGGAAAAAATGGGGTGAAAGAATACTTGGTAATTAGAAGAGCGGGATGCTTCCTTCTCACCAAATATCCATGTGTTCCCCACATTTCTGGCCATGTGCAATTAGCCAGAATCATGTGACTATCTGGGAAATGACCTGTGAGTGACATGAGGTCATTGCCCAGAAATAGGTATTTCCAGGCTGAAAAGAGATGACATGAAATCTCCTACTTTCCCTTCTCATTCTTTAGTGACAGTGGCAGCTGCATCTTGAGACAGTTTAGCCACTAGATGGAAACATCTGGATTTTTAAATCATTGCTTGGGGGAAAGCTGCAAACTTTGCACAAGAGAAAAATAAACTTTTATGTGTTAAACCAAAATGTCTGTTGTGTGTGACTTCTAGACACAAACACACACACACACAATGCTCATTGGAATTAAGCACACATGAAAGAATAAAACCACACAGGGTGTAAATCTACCACGAGGGCAGTGGTAAGCTGGGAATTAGGGGCTCAGGAGCATGAAAGAGTAGAACTTTACGGCAGAGATTATATCTTAAAAGTACATTTTCCATATTTAAGTACCATTTGCAGAAACACAGGGTACTATTACAAAAATACTATTTAAAAAAGAAATTGATAGATCACTTAAAAATGAGAAGATTACATTTCACATTGACAAGTCAGCAAAACACACATGCATGTTTGTTTGTTTCATGAAAACGGTAAAGATGGAATAGAGTGGGAAATAAAAGGTATTTTCAAAAAATTAATTTTTCATTCATTGTGTACCTATATAAGGAAACTGAATTTTGATTTGTACTTTAAATACCACAAAAAAATCCAGCTTAATGGACCTTAATATGAAATTTCTAAAGGAAGACATGGAAAAATATCTGTAGGTAAAGACTTTTTGGATATAATAATCAAAAAATGTTAAAAATAAACAATAGGACTGGGATTGTGGCTCAGTGGTAGAGCACTTGCTTAGGAAGTGTGAGGCACTGGGTTTGATCCTCAGTACCACATTAAATAAATGAATGAATGAATAAATAAATAAATGTATTTTGTCCAACTACAACTAAAAAAAATAAAAGTTGGACTGCATTCAAATTAAGACTCTCTAAAAAACTTCATGGTTTTTGTTTGTCAAAAAATACCACTACAAGAATGAAAAGACAAGCCAGAGAGCAGAAGATATTTACCATACTTGGATCTGACAAAGGATTGTAGATAACAATACACCCTAAGAAACTCATACAGATTAATAATAAAGATGTAAAACCTAATAGAAAAATAGGCAAAAGACTCATATAGGCACTTCACAAAATAAGATTTTCAAATACAGGTAAGCATTCTAAAAGATATTCAATATCATAAGCCAATATAGAGACAGGAATTAAAACTTCAGTAAAATACCAGACAATGTCCCACCAAAATGAATATGAAAAAAGTAAATCAAGAGTTGGCAGATACCTCAACAATTGGAACTCTCCTATTCTGGTGCACGAGTGTGAGTACATTCACGTTGCAAAACTATTGTGTAATGCAATAAAGCCAAACATATAATACCCCAGATGGTAGAGAAATAAAGATGCTTGAAGATTGTCCTGATACCAGAACCATCAATTATGTCTTAGGTGACAGGGCAAAGAGGAAGGAAGGTTGCAGATGGAATTAAGACTGCTAATCATCTGACCATCAAGGAGGAAATTTGTTCTGGAAGATCTGTGTAGACCCAATGGAATAATCAAAGTCCTTGTAATTGCAAGTAGAAAAGGGAATCAGTAGGGAAAACCAGAAAAACTGAGAAGAATTTGGACCAAAGTTCCTGGAGGAATGTGGCCTGTCCAAGGTAGAAGAGGGAAGGAGCAGAGTCTCCCTAGAGCCCTGAGTTTCCAGAAGGGAATGCAGCCCTGATCCTAGCCCAGGAAGCCATGGTGGACTTATGGTATACACAACTGTAAGATGTTAAATTTGTCATTGAAGCCACTGAATTTGTGGCTGAAATCTGTCACAGCAGTAATGACAGCCTAATTTATCCTATGACTCTACTATTCCACTCCTAGTTATATATTCAACTGAAAGGCAGGGATATAGGCACCAAAAGACACATACAAGAATGTGCATACAGTCTTATTCAAAATTGCCTCAAATAGGAACCTACCCAGATTCCATAAATGCCCAATAGGTAATTAGTAGCATCTTGAAATATTATTAAACCACAATAAGAGATGAATGTTATGCAAAACAATTTGATAGTTCTCACAAAAATATAAGATAGAGTAGAAAGTGACAAAAGCATCCAGATTGAAAATTCCATTTATATTAAATTCAAAGACAGTAAAACTAATCTGTGGTGCTAGAATTGTTGCCTTAGCTGGGGGTCTAGTGACTGACAGGTGCAGAGGGCATCTACAGGGTGCTAGCAGTATTCAGTTTCTTGATCTAGGCCCTGATCACAGTGTGATTCATGAAAATTATTTGAGTTGACATTTATGATTTATGTATATTTGTGTGTATGCTGTATGAGGATAAAAACTTTAACTTAAAAAAAGGCAAAGGATTGATTAAAAAACAGATCAGACACAAGGGAGATGCAAATTGAAAACTGAGAAATGGATCTGAAGAAATTCTCTAGACCTCAACTAGAAGATAAAAAGATAGAAAATATGAAAGAAATTTTAAAATGAAAAGGACCAATTTCACCTATAATAGATGCTCCATAGACAAAGAATTGAAAGAACATGAGACAAAACATTCAAAATGCTATATTTGGATATTGAATGTCCCCAGAGGTCCGTGTGTTAAAGGCGTGGTCCCCAGGGTGGTGCTGTTAGGAGGTTGGGCCTTATGAGAGGTCCTTGGTCACTTGGGGGCATGCCAACAAAGGACATCACGGAAGCCTGCCCTTTCTGTCTTTGCTTTCTGGCCCATGATATAAGTAGCTTGCTCCACCTCTCTCCCAACCCAGGATGTGCTTACTGGAGCCCAAAGCAATGGGCCAACTTGACTTGGGCTGGAGCCTCCAGAAGCATGAATTATGAAGGCTTTCCTCCTTACAAGTTAATTGCATCCAGTGTTTCATTATAGTGGAATGTATATAGCTAATACACAGAGAAAAGGCTGAAAATTTTTCTGTCCTAATTAAAAAATGACCCCTCAGATTTACAAAGCAGAATGAATAAAAATTAAAATAAATCATTACTTGCTATATTGTAGTTAAACCATAATCATTGACAAGAGTGGATGGAAGGCAGTGGAATATTTCTAAGTGTTAAGGAAGAAGCATAGCAGTCGATAAACTAAGCGGAATTGAAGTTTTACTCAGGTGTGTTGAGGTATAGTTTCCATGAGGTACAGTAAAATGCTCTTTTTAGTGTATTGTTTTATGAGGTTTGACAAATGATACAGGTGTGCAGTCTCTTCTACAGTCCCAGGAACTCGGGAGGCTTAGGCAGGAAGATCACTAGTTTGAGGCCTGCCTGGGCAATTAGTGAGACTCTCAGCAACTTATTGATAACCCTGTCTCAAAAATAAAATAAAATAAAAAATATTAAAAAGTTACATATAAAAAGGACTGTGAATATATGTAGCTCAGTGTTAAAGCTTCCACGGATTCAATCCCCAGTACCAAAATAAATAAATACATAAATACAAAAATGAATAGAATAGTTCCATCACACACAAAATATTTCCTCATGCCACACTGTGGTCAGCTCTTCCTCCCACCCTAGTCCATGACAACTACTGATCTGTTTTCTGTCCCTATAATTTTCATTTCCCATGACATCACAGAAATGGAATCATTCAGAATATAGCCTTTTCAGATGTGCTTGTTTAAAATAACCCATTGGAGATTATATATGCTATGGTGTATATTTGTAGTTCATTTTTTATTGCTGACTAGTATTCCTTTGAATAGGTACAATACAATTTTTACAGCTATTTACCAGTGGAAAAGCACTTGGATTGTTTCCAGTATTGGGTATTTGTGAAGAGTTGCTGTAAACATCTGCCATAGGGTTTGTGTGAACATGTTTTCATTTCTTTTGGATAAATAACATGGAAATGGGATTGCTGGGTCATATGGCAAGTTCAATCACGTGGTTCTTAATGATGGGGATTGATTCTGTGATATAATTTCATGAAACCATCACTGTATACACAGCCTGGTTGTGGATCAAAACACTGTTAAGTGGTACAAAATTTTATATACTTATCTCTATGAGGAAGCTAACTTTTCTAAAGTGTCTATATCATTTTATATTCTTACTAAGCAACACATGAAGAATCTAGTTCTATTTGCTGCACACCCTCACCAGCACTTTGTATTGTACTCTGTTTCTTCCAACCCAGTATATGTGTGGTGATATTTCATTGCAGCAGTAATTTGCATATTTATGTGCTTGTTTGCCATTGGAATACAAGCATATTGGTTCATTGATTATTCAAATAGTTTCCTATTTTACTTGAGCTGTTTGTTTTCTCTTTTGATCATTTCAACTGTATTTTGAGGGAGTTTTTAATTTAGAGAAACCTAATTTATCCATTTTTTATGTATGATGCTCTTGGTGTTGTAGTTAAAGAATTTTTGCCTAATCTGAGACCATAAAGTTGTCTGATATGTTTTCTTCTAGCAATTTTAAGGCTTTAGGATTTATATCTAAGAGTTTGTCACCTTGAGCTCATTGTTGTCTGTGCAACAAGGTTTAGGTGGAGGGTTTTTGCTTTTGATTTTTTTCTTTCATATGGATATAAAATTGTTCCACCACAAAATTGAAAAGATTATCCTTCTCTATTTAATTAGCTCTACATCCTTGTTGAAATCAACCATATGTGTGTTTGTCTGATTCTGGACTCTCAATTATATGCCACTGGTCTATGTGCCTTCTTTTTTAACAATACCATCTGGTCTCAAGGCTTAAAATCAGGTAGAATCCTTGTGAATTATTCTGAACCTTTATTCTTATTTTTCATATTTTGACTATTCTAATTCTTTTGCTTTTACATATAAAACACAAATTGTTAATAGGTACCAGAGTATTGATCGAGATTATGTTAAATTTATATGCCAACTTTGGGAAGAACTGATATCTTTAGAATATTGTGTCTGTCAATTCATCATCTTAGCATATCTATTTAATCTTTAATAGTTTCTTTCCATATTTCCTCTCATTTCTCTCATTCTAGTCATCATAAAACATCTTTTGGCTTAAATCCCATTCCATGGAAAACTATTCTCACATATCCATGTTCACAGGGTAGCAAGCAGGAGTGATATTATAAGCTCCTTTCTACATACATGGTATAATTGCAAAGACCTACCTTCAGAATCATGATGCCTAAATCCAAAGATGTGAAGAGAATTTCCAAGGCACATTTGAAAAGAGAATAGAGGTTTCCAATGGTCCTTTGAAATATAAAATGCCTATTATGCTTTCTTTAAAATGTATTTCAGTAAGTGCTTTCCTCTGAGCGTATAAATAACTTGCCTTATTGTGGGCTTTTTAGTGGTAAAGCTTGAGTTCTGGGGCCAGATAGATCCACCTTTGTCACCTACCATTTGAACTTAGGCAATATGCTTATTATTTAGTTATTCAGTGACACTGATTTGAATACCTATTGTCTATCAGGCTCTGCTCTTGGCACTGTGATACATCACTAGTCAAAAGAAAGGGACTGTTCATTGGAAGCTTACATTCTAACAGAAGAGGTAGTCAAGAAATAATAAACATAAAAATTAAGGTCATGTTCAGTGCAAATATGCTAAGGACTGTCAAAAAGAAAGAGTAAAGCAAGTTAAGGAGAGGTCAGGAGAAACAGGTAAAGATGGAGACAGAGATGGTTATATGATATAATGTGGTCAGCTAATAGTCATTGATGACTACTGAACAGTCATTGAATAGTCAAATGTGACCAAATACTTGAAGGTGGTGAAAAGATGGGAAAACTGGATGTTTAGGGGACCTTTGCTCTGGGGAAAATTTGGAGCAGACCAGGGCAGGAGGGTGCCTGGTATAGTCATTGAACAGCAAGAAGGCCTGTGGGGCTGGAGTGGAGTGAATGAGGCTAAGAAAAAGGAAGGAGGTCATAGATGTAAAAAGGCATGTTATAGACTGAACATTTGGGTCACCCCACCACCCCGACCAAATTAATATGCTGAAACTATAATCCTTAGAATGATTACATTTGGAGATGAAGCCTCAAAAGAAGTAATTATAGTTAAATCAAGTCATACATGGTATAGTTGCAAAGGCCTACCTTCAGAATCATGATGCCTAAATCCAAAGATGTGAAGAGAATTTTCACAATAAACAAAGCCTCATAAGTGTGAGGCTCTGATTCAACAATGTTAGTGTCATGCTTGCACAAAGAAAAGGTCACATGGGTATTAGTGAGAGGGCCAGCTCCTACAGGCCAGGAAAAGTGGTGTCCCCAGAAATCTGCCATGCAGGCCCCTTGATCTCAAACTTTTACCCTCCAGGACCATAAGAAAATAAGTTTATGCTAAATCTTTTAGTTTGTTATTTTATTAGGAAAGCCCAAAAGGACTAAGATAGACAATGAGGCCTTGGGCTTTGAGTGAGGTAGGAGTCTTGGGATCCACTGTAGGCAGCAAGGGGACAGGGATGGAGCTCAATGGCAAAGCACTAGCTCAGCAGGCCTGAGGCCCTGGATTCCATCCCCAGTACCACAAGAAAACACACATGGGCACACATGCAACACTGACAGCAAGAACAGAAGCAGGCCATCCAGGGGACTACTGTAGTAACCAAAGCAAAATGTGACCACGGCTAGAGAAGGGTCATGGAAGTGGTGACAAGTGTCCAGAATTTGAGTGCATTTTTAAATGGAACTGACAGAGGACTTCCTGGTATATTAGAGGTGGTGGTAAGGAAAGGGAAAGGTAAAATCAGGGATAATTCTGAAGTTTGGGGGCTGAGAGACAGGAAAGATGGAATTGCCATCAGCGGTGGAGTCTACAAGAAGAAGTTTTAGAGGGGAGCCCAAGAATTTAGTTTTAAGTTTGCTCAGTCTGAAATTTCTACTATATATTCAAATGGAAATGTCAAATGGACAGCTGGATGTAGAATTCTGGCATCAGGGGCAGAAGATTGAAGTAAAGACATAAATTTGAGAGTCAATCGTTTATATAGATGGTATTCAAAGTCTTGAGACCTGATGAGATCACTGAAGGAATTAATAAAGAAAAAGAAGAGAACAGGTCCAAGCACTGCACCCCAAACCACTCAAATGTTAAGAAATTAGGCAGATGTACTAGAAAGTAACACTGAAGCAAGAGTATTCAGCAAGAAAGAACAGGGTGCGGTGGAACAAAGTGTATTGTGAGAGAGCAGAGAATTGCCAGAGTGATAATGGAAAGGAGGTGATGGAACCTGGTGCATGGGTGGAGGGTTTAGCTTGGATAGGAACAGAGCTAGATCACACACAGGTGAGAAGCCATAGTCTGTGGGTGGAAATCCTAGCATGTAGCTTAATGTGCTGGTGGGAGTCTCTGGCAGAAGTTCCCTGTGATTGCTTCTGTTTTCTCAGTGATGTAGGAGCCAAGTTTAGAGATGGAGGAGGGGAGGGAAAGGGGCTTTTTTGGGCATTTGAGGAGAAAAAGAATTTGAAAATCATATATATCCTTTGAGCCTCAGTTATATTAGGGACAGGAATTCATAACTGCACAGATTTTGTAAGGGTTGGCATCACTGAATCAAAAGCCAATATGCAGGTATTTACGTGATCATTCTCCTCCTAAAATCTCATATGTCTATCTTCTGTCTCTCAGGCTCTCAGTTCTCTGGATGTGTCAATCATGTAGTATTGTTTTCTTTGAATGCTACCTAGAAAAATACAAATTCCATTTGACTTCTCAAAATTTTAAGTCATAATAAATTAGAACAAAAGTAACAAGAAAAGAATACAAATTGCCTATAATTCTATCACCTCTCCCAGTTTCCTCATAATCAATAGCACACATGCATCCAATATTAAATAGTGTTTCTTTTCTTTAATGTTATATATTAAGCACTTTCCAAAATGCTAGGCTTCAAAATCATCATTTCATAATTTTTCATGTGTCCATTCATGTAAATAAATGTATTATTATTCTATACAACAATTTATTATTGGACATTTACATTTCTTCAAATATACTTTATAAACTACATTATGATGGATGTCTTTGAGCATATTTAAGCATAATTGATGAGCTCATAGCACAGCTATCTACCATTTAATGGCCAATTATTGACTACCCATATGGAACAATGTGCTAATGATCTTTTGTACATTTCATTTGATTATCTTAATGGCACAAAAAGTAATTTTTATGTTGAAGTATCTTGGCACATGTAAGATTTTAAAAGAATATGAAACATTCTTGAGCTGACTGATCATTTTGCTTAGTCTTAATATTTAGTCTTATTTGTTTGAGAACTTCATTGAGAAATAAAAATTTATTGGAGGAATAGACATGAGACTGCACATAGTTTTCAACTTCATTTTTCACTTTGTTTTCAAAGAATATTTGTGTTGATAACAAGATGAGCCTATTAATTTAAACAGGTACATTTAATCACAATTCATTTATGTATTGTTTTGATGGACATTTGGCTTTCCCAGTTGTATGCATTTTTCATATCTTTCAGTGGAAATTAATTGCTAGATGTTGCTTCAGCAGCACAATGGGAATGATTGGGAAGCCATCTAGGAACCCTATGGCAGAGATGGCAATAATGGATTTCTCATGTCTGCCATGATTGTATATGGGTAAGGGTCAGATGTTTGTATGATCTCCACTTGCCAGGATTTGCCTCACCCCCAAGCAATCATCAAGGAAAAGCGGTTGTCTAGAGATTGAGCCTTGTTGTAATTGAAGAGATCTACAGTTTGTAGATCTTGAGAAGATCGAGAAGATTTCCAAAAATTTCTTTTTGCAAAACTTTCTTGCTTGAGAAGAAAGTTTTGCAAAAAGGAATTTTAAGTCTCTTTTCTTTCTCTTTCAAAAAGCTTTTCCTATATGAATTTTTGTGGCCAATATGTCCTTGCTGATATGCATGGTAAACTTTTTACTTTTCTCAGCCAGGAAAACAATGTGAGTGGGAACTCAGGCCTGCCCTTCACTGGATATATATGATATGGGCAAAGCCACTGAGACACTGTCTAAATTACTTGTTAAAAATGGAAATTGAACCCATATCACACAGTAGTTATAGGAATAGTTGTATTTAGCATTATCCTGAGCATAGCTGTCAATTAATGGTAGTGGCTGCTATATTATCGTCATTATTATTACTTAACAGTAATAATAACATGATTACTATTAAAAAGCAAGATGATAATATTAGTGGAGCAGTTTGCAAATAGATCTGGTTTAAAAAATTTAGATTTGGGTAGTTTAAGGAATTTATCTCCAACTGAAATAAATGCCTGGAAATTTGGGTACACAGAATGAAAATAATGAGGTTAGGCAGTGAGAATTACTGTTAGAATTGGAATAGGAGGTAAACATAGATTGGATTATGAGGCCAAGCAAGGGAATAACCCCACTTTCACAGGAAATTAGAAAAGGAAGGGATAATAAAACAGACCCGATACTCGGTGTGATTGTGCCAACTATGACAATGTGCTTACAAGGCATCCTGCTGTAAGTCAGAATCCTGATAGCTCCTAAACTGTGAGAAAGAAATAGAAACATTTTGGGGAGTTCTTCTTTCAATCCAGTCAACAAACATTCCATTGCAAACTAAGAAAAGAGGGCAAGGCATGAATTCAAAAAGCTAATTGTTCTCACCATGGACTGGAGTGTGGCGTCTGCTTGGATTCTGAAAAGATTATTGACTCTTTTCTTGCCTCTTTTATTAAGTGTCATACTCATTTAAGTGTTGTGCAAGTTACCAGAATGTAAGGAGCATAATAATGAATGCTTGTCATAATGTGTTTTCTCTCTCTTTATCAGTGATATACAATGGGAAATGATAATCAAAACAATGACTGAGGAATCATGGCCCGGATAATATTTCAATGGAAAAAGGGCATTGATAATAACTATAATTTTAAAGATAATAAAACTGAGGCTTATGTGAGATGGGGTTTTTGTTTTGGTTGGTTTTTTACTCAAGATTTTTGAAATATTTACAAGTGGCAAAATCTGTCCTTTTAAAGACTATACAATGGTCAGTTTTGACAAATGTAGGTACTTGTGTGACTAATTCACTACTAAGCTGTAGGACATTTTCATCCCTGCATGACGTTTCTTCCTGTTTTTTGTTTATTGTTTTCTTATTTTATTTATTTATTTGTTTGTTTGTTTGTTTGTTTTTGCTAGTCAGTTAGGTTCTTTCACATCTAATCCCTGGAAATCAGTGCTATGGTTTCTGATTTGCTGGTTGCCTTTCAGAGTGTTACATCAATACAATCAGAGTGTGTGAGGTGCCTGTCATTTTGTACTAGTGAAGTGCTTGTGAGACCCATCCACTGTGTTTCCTGAATCAATGCTTCATTGTTTTAATTGCTAAATTGTATGACATTATATTAATATACCACAAATTGTTCATTTACCAGTTGATAGGCATTTGTCCCTGCTGTCTGCTAATTATAAAACTTCCATATATCTCTGTATGAACATCCTCTGTGGACATTGTTTTTCACTTTTCTTGGTTAAAATACAGGAGGGGTTTTTGAGTCACCAAGAGGTGAAAGCATACCTGCGGGGAAGAGCCAAAGATGTTACCATTTCACATTCTCGTAAAAAGCTCCCTAAACAGCACTTAAGTTTTGACATTCTGATACTAGTGAGTCTAATGTATATGGTTTTAATTTGCACTTCTGTAATGACTAATGATATTTAATTTCTCTTCATGTATTTACTTTCCATCTAAATCTCTTCTATGGTTAAAATGTCTAGTCAAGCTTTCATACATTTTTAAAATTGGTTTGCTAGTCTTAAAATACAGATGTTTTTAGTTTTGATTAACTCCAATTTGTCATTTCTTTGCTGTTATCATCTGTTTTCTGTATCTCATCTAAGAAATCTTTGCCTATCTCAGGCTTTAAATGATTTTTTTCTCTATCTTCTTCTAGAATTTTTATACAGTTAGTCCTTATATAGAGAGAAAGAGCATTTCAAGGGAATTTTTATATGGTACAGGGAAAAAGGGCCAAGGTTATTTATGTCTTTAGTCTATAGGTAGCCAATCGTTCCAGCACCTATTGCTGAAAAGATGACATATGTTATTTAATATGTGTGTATATGTCCACTATTTTATTCTCTTTATAATTGACTTTTTTTTTTAAAGATCACACATATAATTAATTAATTAATTAGTTAAGATCATGGAGTTTGTTTCTTTGTCTGCTGGATAATTTCACTTAGCATGTCTTCTAAATCTATCCATCCTATAGTAAATGGCAAGATCTCCCTTTTCAGGCCAATTGATATTCCATGGTGTACACACACACACACACACACAACACACACACACACACGCACACACACACACATACACAGGCTTCTTTATCCATTTGTTCATCATCAAACACTTAGATTAATTTGGAATCCTGGCTATAGTGAGTAAAGCTTCAGTACATGGGGAAGTGCAGACATATTCCTTCAGGAGATGGTGATTTTCCTTCGGGGGTATTTCCAGAAGGGGTGTGCTACATTATAAGCTAATTGTATTTTCAACTACTTTAGCAACTTCCTTACTGTTTCTCGTAATGACTGCAATAATCTACATTCCCATAAGAATAAAGTTCCTTTTTCCCCACATCCTCATCTGTATTTATCTTTTTAAAAAAATTTTTAAATTTGTTTTAATTAGTTATACATGACATTTGTGCACTTTGATAAACATTGATGGGATAGAGTTTCTCATTTTTTTGAGTATACATGTTACAGAATCATATTGGTTTTGCAGTCACATATATACATACAGTAATAATGTCTGTTTCATTCTACTATCTTTCCTATCCCCAGATCCCCTCCCCTTCTCTCCCATCACTTCCCTCTACCTAATCTATGGTAACATTATTATTCCCTAGTGCCCCCCACCTTATTGTGAATTAGTATCTGCATATTAGGGAATATATTTGGCCTTTGGTTTTGTGGCTTATTTCGCTTAGCATGATATTCTCCAACTCCAACCATTTACTGGCAAATGCCATAATTTTGCTCTTCTTTAAAGCTGAGTAATATTCCATTGAGTATATATACCACATTTTCTTTATCCATTCATCTTTTGAGAGACACCTAGGTTAGTTCCATAGTCTAGCTATTATGAATTGAGCTGCTATAAACATTGATGTGGCTACATCACTATAGTATGCTAATTTTTAAGTCCTTTGGGTATAAACCAAGGAGTAGGATACCTGGGTCAAATAGGATATGACTTCCTTAACAAGACTCCTAAAGTGCAAGAAGTAAAATCAAGAATTAATAAATGGGATGGATTCAAATTAAAAAGCTTTTTTTCCCCCTCAGGAAAGGAAACAGTTACTAAAGTGAGGAAAGAGCCTATATTGGGAGAAAATCTTCACCACCTGCACCTCCGATAAAGCATTAACCTCTAGGATATATAAAGAACTCAAAAAACTTAACACCAAAAAACAAATAACCCAATCAAAAATGGGCTAAGGAACTGAACAGACAATTCACAGAAGAAGAAATACAATTGATCAATGTATATATATGAAAAAGTGTTCCAACATCTCTGGCAATTAGAGAAATGCAAATCAAAACTACTCTAAGATTTCATCTCACTCCTGTCAGAATGGCAATCATCAAGAATACAGGCAACAATAAATATTGGAGGATGTGTTAAAAAAGGCACATTCATACATTGC